GAGCGACTTGGAAGAAATGAAGACAAACAGAAAGCAGAATGGAGAAATGAAGAAACTGCGTGCGTTTTTTTTTTAATCTGCGAGAGCCTTTAGCGGCGACACTTTTAGCGGCGACAATCAGAGCTTTAGCGGCGACAATCAAAGCTTTACTGGCGACAATGGTCAATAGCGGCGACAATCTGGAGGGAAGGGTACCGCGTCATTTTTCAGCTAACTATTAGCTGCAACATTTTTACCTTTTAGCGGCGACACATATGTCGCCGGTATTAGGTTGGTGTGGATAAGGGTACCCCAACCGTTGGATTGGATATTTGATCGAACGGCTTAGATGTAATGGAGGGGAAAACGCGGATTCGGGTGATAACCCTTTAGCGGCGACATTATTACCGGCGACGTATACTTTTAGCGGCGACTCTAGCATTTGTCGCCGCTAAAAGTACACGTCGCCGGTAATAGTGTCGCCGCTAAAGGGTGATATTCTTGTAGTGGATAGGATATATGTTAAGTTATGAACTCATGTACTCGTGATGAATTACATGTGTGATACATTACATGTTAAGTCTTTCAACTTTTGTTGTATGTTATTTTTTGGATATCGACAGGTGCTATTGCTACATACATGCATGTAATTGTTAATCTAGAAGAAGGCTTTCAAATGATTAAAAAAACTCTCATTCAGTTCTTAATGAATAATGATTATTTTTTGTGAAAATTACATTCGCTCATTTGATCGATCCACCAAGTATGCGACATTTGACTCTAGCTAGGTACACTAAAACCAAACAACTTTTTGCAACAAAAAAAAAGAATAAAACCAAGATGCATACCTGGACGACTTTTAATGATTACAAAGCCTGCAATCGGACCATTAAACGAACACCTAAAGATGACAGACAAACTATTAAAATAAGTTACATAATACACCCATTTTTGTCATCGTTGTAGAAATGGATTTACATAATTTAAAAAAAAAAAAAAAATCATATCAAACTGTTGCAACTTGCGAATAAAAACATCAAAAAAGATGAACCTCTTCCAAGTGGGGTGGGGTGAGGTACTTATTGTTAATTGTGTTCCCCATGCTCATTGCCATGTCATACACATCACGCTTTTTGCTTGTGTTTGTGTATTTATCTTTTATTAAAAAGAAAAATATTTTAACTAAACATAAAAAGAGAGAATTAAGTCGAGCCAAATACGTGAGTACTAAACCGAACAAAAAAAAAGATCAATTGGAGAAATTAAAGACAAACAATAGACAAAAGTTAACGATGCTAACAAAGATGGAAATTTGATATATATATATATATATATATATATATATATATATATATATATATATATATATATATATATATATATATGCGAATCTAGAACCCAAAACCACATCGTTCCTTATATGTAAGTGAAACCGAAAAAAGTAAGAGAGTAAATAATACTAGTGGCGGGCTAGTGCCTGGCGGAAGGGCGGTGTTGGGCCGGTAGTGATGGTCGGACGGCGAACGACAGATGGGTGGAAGCGATCATCAGGACGACATATTTCAAGCATTTTTTTGCTATTTTATCCTTTTTTTGCTTAATTTTAAATTGAGTGGACTATTGTCTAATTATTACATTGTAAATGGATTGAAGCATTGACCTATTTTAAGTGGATTGAAATATAAAATATAGGGTTTATACACTTTGATCCATTTTTCTTTTTAGCAAATTTTATAAAGTAGGTCCTTGAAAATATATTAGGTAGTTCCCCTTATTTTTTATGCACAGTTTATACTACTTTTTTAAAAACATAGGTGGGTCCAAGCATAGATACGCCTATATATATATATATATATATATATATATATATATATATATATATATATATATATATATATATACTAGTAGGGTACCCGTTCGATGCAGCGGCACCAGATAGTTTCTTTCGGTAGGTAATGTTCATGCGACGATTCTGCAAATTAACTTTATTTGTGTTGTGTTATGTTAGGTATTTTTTTCTAAAACCAAAGGTTTTTCGGCTAGAGGTATCAAGGTTTTGAAGAGGCGTTTTCTCACCCAATGGGCTGAGGGTTCAAATGTTGTAGTGGACAAAATATGTAGCCTAAGAGTAGGATTTAGAGATTTTTCTAAAATATATTATTTTATTTAATATTTTGAACATAGCCATTTAAATAATTATACAATGATTGTATTATATTGGATAAAAAGAGATACTAAAGGTTCTGACTCGATTCCGGATAAAGCCGTTCTTGAGACCCTGAACCGGAACTGGTTTTATATATTCCGGTTCTAATAGTTCCGGTCCGGTTTTCCGGTTTTAAATCTCATCCCTACTACGAATAACAATTAAGTTGATATATGAAACAAACATTTTAAATAATAACTAAATCAACGTATCTAATTGTATTTCTACGTTATCATACTCTTACATGCTTCATAATTCTTTTATTGGAATTCAAATTAAATAAAAAGCTAATATTAACCAAGATGCAAAAAGGACAATCCTTGGTTCTTATGGAAGTCATGGAAACTTAATTAAAGCATTTTCATTTTGATCTTAAAAAACTTGTTTTTCAATTACCAACACTTACAGCTTTTGCTTTTGTTGAGTAAAAGTGACCAACATCATCACTTTCCTGTATAAAAGATAATACACATACTACCTACTTAGAGTCTATATTTTAGGAAATTATTTTTTTTCCTCTAGCTCAACCCAAATTAAATTTTATGTCTAATTGTACATAATAGTGTTAGTCTTTGAATTAATAGCATAAAAATATTGTAATAACTTTTGATAATTAATAATGATAAACCAAACAACAATACCCAAAACAATAGATATTCGTATTTTTTTAACCGATTCACATTTTCTAACCCATCATTTTATAAAACATGGCCATTGTTTATTCATTTAATTTAACTATATTTTCCATTTACCATTATATAATGAAATTAAAAGGGTCTTAAGTTAAAAATAGTATTTTATTCACTTGATAATTTATATGTATTAATTGTTATTTTCGTTACATAACCAACTATATTATGCATAATAAGTTTTTTATCTAAATATTTTTTGATCCATTACACGTATAATTTTTCTTTAATCAAAAGATAATAAATTGTTTTTTTTATGTGGATCATACAATCTTACAATCTTCTTAAACAATTGAAAGTTAGAAAAAAAAAAAAGAATTGTGAATCATATAAATAAAATCAAGCACAACAATTTGGATACTAAGCAAATTACAAATTCATAACCTGACAAAAAATTTATAAAATATTTCCCAGAGATTATGAGTTATAACAAACAATATACATACAGATCTATAAACTCAAAGTTCAAAAATATCAAAAAATTCAATAAATAATAAACAATAAAAAATAATAATAATGCAAAATGCAAACATCTTCGTTTTTTATTCAAATCCCATTTTGGTGTTTCTCATATCGCATCTCAAGAGGGAAATAAATTTACAAAAAACTATAACTATAAAATATAGACAAATTTCAATAACGTGCAAAAAGAAAGATACATATATAACAACATGGATATGCAACAACGGTAATTAGAAATCAGAATGATCGGGAGTGTAATAGAAAAACAAAATCAAAAGGTGTTTTGTTAAAAAGTTACCAACTCCAATGGCCTGAACACATGGAAAATAAGTCAATTATCTTTGAAACCTGAGTTGAATAAACATACGTATATGTACGGAAGAGGATGAATACAACTTATGGGACAATCTGTCTTACTTAAAGAATCTCATTTCCCTGAAAAAAATCACAAAACAGTACATTCGTATCTTCATAGACAAATATCAAAATAAAAAAATAGGAATAATCAAACAAACTGAGTTCTTGATACTGGTTTGAACCTGCAAAATACAACTAAACTTGTATCATGAGACACACATACATACACACACAAGACAAATACCATAATAAAGTCACAAAAATATCTGTCCAAAATCGAAAGATTCCAGCAAAATACAAATAACTTTTATTGGGAGCGAGAGGTAGATCAGATAATTTTAGATCTGGGAAGAAAGTTACAGACTAAGATATCGAGCTCAAAACATTAGGGTTTACCAAGGAGAGTAATCAAGAAGATCCATGGGCTCGCTGAAATAAATGGTGGCTCAATGGTTAACTGCACACATACATAGAAAAAGCTAAATAACAACCAGAAATAAACTATTTATGGAACTTTTCAAAACATAAACACGCCTCGATGGTGATGGTGGTGTAGACGGTGGTGTGTGGTGGTCAAGGTCGACAGATAGGAAGATAGAAGGAGGAGAGTGGTGGTGGTGGTTGCGTTAACTGGAGACAGGAATGAGGGGCGGCTGCATTCAATATAGGGTTTGTGGAGAGAAATCTGTTAGAGAGAGAAAAAGAGATAAACAAATTCAACTTTTAATTGGATATGAGGAGTATGTGGGAAACTGGGGATGTTGATCAATAAATACAGTATATTTCAAAAAGCTTACTCAAAGTGTGCCAATTTATATCATTCAAAAAAATTCAAAAGATTTTGAATCGAGCTTTTAAGCGCCCAATTACCGAGCCAATATTTCAGTACTTCCATCTACAACTATGCACAAAATATTTGTACTAAAACTATGCACAAAATATTTGTACTAATTGTTGTGAAATTTGTACCTCTTAAGTTTAAGACATTAGGCTTACTTTGTTGTACATCGAGTTTAAAAGGTTGTATTTAAGACATTAGATATGTATGCTTTATATAATAGTATAAGTATATACTATTATATAATATATATGTTACTTATTATAAGTATATACTATTATATAATATATATGTTACTTATTATGCAAATTTAGTCAAATGTTGAATTTTAAGAGGTACAAAGATTTATGCAATATGTACAATAATTTTATGCATCAAAATCTTATGCAGTCAAATAAAAGAAAAAGTCAGACCGGCCTTTGAATTGGTATTCCACATGAATCGGTCAGCCTTTGAATTGGTATTCCACATGAATCAGTCAACACCAACTGCCCTTTATATTAACATCTCCTCTCTTACTTCCTCTCTCAGTGTTAGGTCAGAACTCGCACGCGCACACCAGAAACCAATAACCACCATCGTCGGATCATTCACTCACCGTCATCCTCCTCTCACTGAAAAGTAGAAACCCTAACGAAAAACCCATTTGCCACTGCCATCCCCATTCACCGGTCACCACCATCACAACATCGCTTACCTGCATCGGAGGCCACCCTTCATCACTGTTATTGTGGATGTTTGACCGTTAGCTTCTCCTTCCCAACTCAACAAATCAGAAAATCGAGCAGGTAATACATTCTATACCTTTTCTTTACATCCATAAAACCTAGATCGAACGCTCCCGCTACCACCACTTTCATCACCTTCAAATTAGTCACTACAATTGGTTGTGATCTTCTACTTATGCTTTCTTATTTATGTTTTCTTCTCCATTTGTAGGTTTCAATTTGTGTGCAATATACTTGATTGGATATCAGAATGATGGATGTAACTTTGAAAGGATACCTATGACTATAATCGTTTCATATTTCATCTTTGTTTCCATGCTTTTTATTTGATTTTGGCTAGTTTGACCTTTTTTGGAAAAAAAATAACCGGTGAAATTAGTTTATCCTAATTTCATATATGTCTTCTATTATGTGTAATGATGTCTAATTAGTTTACCATTTGATGCCAATATTAACCACAACAAGATAGGGCTCGGGATTTTATAGCTAATAACTATGAGGTAAAACTTATTCACATAATTTTCTCTTACAGGTGGGAGAGGAACAGGCAGTAAGAATAGAGAGAGAAAGGGATGTTGACGATTGGTTTGTTGCTGCAAGGTCTCAAATTTTTATGAGCAAAAAATAAAAGGTTAGCTAGTTTTTTTGTTCTTGATTCTTATGTTGGATTGGCTTGGATATTCTAACAGTTACATGAAAGGATTTGTAGGTGTCTTATTCTAACAAAATTTGGGTTTTAAGTTTTTTCTTTATCTTTGATTGCAGCATACATATAGTATATATATTAGAGTAAGGGCTGCCTTTTCTTTTCATTTTCCCTTAATATAGCATTTCTAAAGAGCTTTTTTTTTTTGCCTAGATTTAGAGACCGTGAAAGATGAGAAGATAAACCCACAAAGGAGTTGTTTGATTTTTTATATGATGATTAAAGAATTGGTTGCTTCTTTTTTACCTGGTACTTATAAATGCATATTTTGTTAAAAAATATTTTTTTTTTTCATTCAAAAATGTGAAACATTGAGGCGTTACATGATGTTATACGATTTGATTTTCCGATTAATATAATCAGGTTACCCTCTTAACAAAAATATGGAAGGATTTCTCAAAGATATGGTTAACACCTTCCGTCATTGCCAAGGTAATGTATGCCATGTTTCTGTTTTCTTAGTTATATATGAGCTATGCTTCTTATTTTAATTCTATGAGTTGTTTATCTTTCTAACAGTGAGCAAAAAGTTATCAGATTGGCCATTAGTATATGAAAATCGAGTGTTCATACATTTTTTTAATTATTTTTTATTTTTTGATTTTGTTATGATAAATGAAATTATGATGGTGTTGACCACTGGCAGTCAAAGAGTGTGATGATTTATATGTTATTATTTCACCAAGCCAAAGTGAAAGGAAAGGCTGTTTAGATGCTATGTTTTTATCCTTGGTTCGTAAATTACTGTTTACTTAGAAGCAACTTTCTTAAATATTAGAGATTTTTGGATGGCATAGGTTAATTTTCTTATACCAACAATTTCATGGTAGAGGTTTTTGTAAGGATATTCATATATTTGATCGACTATTCAATTATGGTTTTCGATTGCAGTAATGGTGGATGCTATGAAAAGGTAGCAAAGTTAGATGTTGAAAGTTAGTTAAAGGATTGTGGTGGTATGGTTCACTTAGGGCATATCGTATATGGAGTTGAGAATAACTATTTGGATGCTTGCGGGTGTGTCAAAGATCAAAACAAATTCGGATTAGCCTATGTCAATAGCGATGTAAAGGTATCGTGGAGTTTATCTTTTTGTTAGCTAATTAAAATGATGAACATGTTGATTAGTTGATAAGCAAATAAAATCCAATATCTGTCAGTTTCTCCAATTTCATATGTCATGTGTTCTTTCTCTTCTTTCTGATTTCACTTCTTACTCTACATCCATAGCGACTGCATGTGACATTCAAACTCAACGTGGTGATCTGGTGTTTTATTTAGACAAAGCACAATCTCCATTGTCCCGTTGTCTATAGGATTCACCCTCTTTCTATATGTATTTTGTCCCTTTCATATTATCACATGTTCCTCTAATTTCTATCCCCTTTAGTAATATTTTTAATGCTTCTAGAGATGGAATAAAAAAAAATAATGCATTATTGATGGAACTACTTGTACTGTAAATCTGTATTATATTGTGTCACAACTACACCCATTTCCAAGTATTTTGGAGATTAAGTTTAAAATTAAGTTTGTTTTGAAAAGTTGACTTATTATGATTATTTTATTATTTTTTTATTTAATTTAATTTGGCAAATACGTAAGAATACTCCACGTCAACTACGTAATTGAATTGAATTCATTGTGTCCCTTAATTGTGATTAAAAACATTAAATGATGATTTTAAGTTGTCATCAATTCAATTAAATTATTTTTGTAACTTGTATCTTAGAGTATACGGAGCGGGCAACGCCACCGGGCGTTATGCTTATGTGGCAAGCCCTTAACGGCGCCATGGCGGCAGGAACACCGCCCCAGCTAGCCGTTATCGGGTATTATGCCATCGGGTGTGATGGTGATAACGGGACGAAACGCGTGTTATTCCTCTGCTTTTTTTCTGATTTGCTTCTTCTCAACGCCGTTTCATATAAAAAACACCATTTCCTTTTGATATTTATAGATATGTTATTGACAGAATAAGATGATGTGGCACCCATAACGTGGGTATGGGCGTTACCCATACCCACCGGCCTTAATCAATTAATAAAAGTAAAAGATATTGAAATTAAGTCTGCAAACAATGAAGTATAATTAAAATATATATGTTTTTTTAACAAATATCAAGAAAGCATAACAAATATTAAAAAAAAAAAAATAGACATACATCCACACCCACTTTTAGCCCTCTCTATTGGCAATGCCAAAACTCAAAAGAAAATTTTGCATATAATCACCTCTCATCTCTCTACTCTTTTTTGTCGAAATAAATTATTCGCCGCCTGACGTTTTGTGGGCAAACGGATATATATATATATAATATATATAATATATATATATATATATATATATATATGACTTGTAAATTATGACTTGACTTTACATGTGATAAAAAAATGATAAGTTTTATACCAAATAAAAGAAATACATGTGCTTGTGCTGAGATTGATAAATTGGTAAAGAGATGTTATATATTTTTATGGTTAGCCTTCTATAAATCAATGAATAAATCATTTCTCCCAAGAATATTTTCTAGGTGCAAAGATCATATGTGTCATCCAAGGACATTATTGGTAATAACTGTGGGAGATAATGGAAACTTGAGTCATGTTAAGTTTTTTTTTTTTTTCAGTTATATATATATATATATATATATATATATATATATATATATATATATATATATATATATATATATATCATTTTAGTTTCATACCACATGACCCTTACCAGTCAAAAAGTTAAAAGAAAAGCATTTATTCATGTGTTGCTATAATGGAAGCTCATTTCCCATTTTCTCCTTTTGTTTGATAATTGGTTGTTATAATGTCTTATAATCATCTACCATCATTTTACTTTAACGTATTTTTAATTGATGAGCAAGTTGCAACTTGCAAGTGATTGCTACCCATGTCGGATTGTAGGGAAAGTATCGACAACTCGAATTCATTTAAATAAGAAGAGAGCCCTTTTGAGCAAACATATTTTGTGTTTGGATTGTAATGGGACTCATAGCACCGTGGTCCGTGGGTATTGTATTGGGTTCCGCTTCACCATGATATATATTGATCACGATATCATTATACAACAAGGTTACTTTATATGCATTCATAGTAATATCGTTACTTCGAGTGTTAAAAGATTAAAAATAATGGTAAACTATAACATATGATGCTTCATATAAGATGTTATTCACGGAACATTAACAAGATTTTAGACTAGACTGTGAGGGTTTGAATCTTGTATTTCTTGTATAAAATTCCATACCTCGGAACATTAACAAGATTTTAGACTAGACTGTGAGGGTTTGAATCTTGTATTTCTTGTATAAAATTTCATACCTCAAAACCACCGGGGCCTAAGCTTCCATCTCAGCGGCAAGAGTGCTAAGACTATTTGGAGTGGGTATATCCAGCCCGTTCACTGGAGACGCTACCCTCGCCAAACACCGCCCCTTGGCTTGTGCCAATAGGGGTTGCCAAGGCGAACATGCCTTTTTACCAACGAGAAGAAAGTGGGAAAAGATTATTGGGTGTGAGATTTTGACCAACTTTTAACTAAATTTCAACATTTTTTTGAAAAACATACATTTTTTATACAATTCAACCTTTTTTTATAAAATTCAAATTCTCAAACTTTCTTCCAACCACTATAAATACGCATTTAAACCTTCACATTTCAACATACACAATTCCCATTACATCTCGTAAAACCTTCACCATTCTATAAAAATGTTCATATGATCTTCTCGAGATTGCGTTATAAGCATCCATCAATGTGCGCGATGGGCTACAACAATCTATTTACTAGCGAGGAAGAGGGTATAGCACAACGTAAACTAAGAAGATATATCAAAAGACACGCACCAACGTCTTACGCGTGATTATTTTGTCGAGCATGCTATCTTTAAAGGATATTATTTCCAGAGGCGGTTCCAAATGCACAAACTTTTTTTATGCGTATTATCGAAGACGTTACGAGAAGTCTATATATATCCAACAAACTTCGGATACGAGATATACTAGAAGATAAAGGAAACGTTATATGTAACATCCGGATCATTTGAGGTACTTTAGTTTAAAGTATTTATATATTTATATTTTTTGGATTTTGGGCAGCACCACATCGTGGTGGAGGCTCGCCATGACGTCGCAGTAGCTTATGGGTCGCGTGGATTTAATGAACCACCACGACGTGGCAATATGTGCCACGATGGGGTGGCCGTTGTTGGAGAAAACGCTAAAGTTTAAGGGTTTGAACCCTATTTAAACAACCTTAACCTCTTGTAGCCTCCGTCCCATCAGCCTCTATCCCTCATAATCATCCATTGCAAACCCTAGACCTCTTGTGTGAGTTTTTTTTAGCCTAAAGTGTGTGTTTTAGTGCTTGTGAAGAAAGAAGGTGGTGGTAGATCGTCTTAGGAGTCCAAAGCAACGTAGATCCAGAAGTTTGTCTTCCTCAAACATCTCCAGGAGGTATAAAACCTTCATCTTGATGAGTAAATTGATAGATCTCTAGATTTTGTCCGCCCTTCTCTATGCCTTGTTGTTT